TCTCTCTCTCTCTCTCTCTCTCTCTCTCTCTCTCTCTCTCTCTCACACACACACACACACACACACACAGAGAGAGAGAGAGAGAGAGAGAGAGATATCTTTAAACATAAAATGAGTTTTAGAAAACTATAATGAAGAGCTCTCCGTCACTGGCCTCTGGCCTCCACTGTGGCTGCAGCTGTGTTGAGATGATCTCCGTGTCTGTCTTCTTTTAACATGGCTTATCTGTCACTGGATGGTGTTGGAAGTTAGCCAACTGTGTTACCTGCTTCCATCTTTTGCCTCCATTTCTGTTACATCCTGCGTTCTCTTAGATTCACTAAGTCCCTCCCTCCCTCCCTCCTCTCCAGCATTCCTTCCTTCCTTCCCCCTTCTTCCTTCTTCAGCAGGGCACTTACACACAATGTTTCAGAGACACATTGTCCACTGGCTGCCTTCAACCTAACGGTCACCTTTAGTCGGGTGTGGGTGCGTGTGTGCCGCCAGCTTCCTGCTCTTCCCCATGTTGAACTCAGTGACTGTTTCTTCCATAATGAAGTTACTAGTGCTTTGATGGTGCAGGGTGGGTCCTGAGGCGAGTCTACCTGTGCTCATCCACACCTGGACCCACCACGATCACCGCTCCCACCATCCAGCTTTTTAAATGAGCTTTCTCTCCTTTCCTTTGCAGCAGACGCTCTCCAATGAAGTTCACTGTGTTGAAGAGATTCTGAAGGTGAGGTCATAATTAACCGTGTGTCACTGGAAGAAACCCTGAACCAAACAGACAAACGCCCATGTGATCTCACTTTCCTGAGCAGTGCCATTCCAACACAGACCATTCTTCAGGTCTCTACCAGATTTTACTTGCCAAGATGAGGTTTACAAACTGCAAGAAATTTGCATCAGAGTTTTACAAATTTCTCAAGTTTTATGTTTGCCCATAGCCACCGAAGACAGGTGCTCACTTCCCAGAGAAGAAACACCTTATATGGGTGTAGCATGGGAGACACCAGGCTTAAATAGCCCCATATCCTGATTCTCTCACTTTTTAGACAGAGAAACCTGGTGCGCGTGGCCTCTTTAATGAGATTTTAAAACGTTAAAGAGCTGAGTGTGGTGGTATATGCTTTTTTATTCCCAGCACTCCACAGCAGAGAAAGACAGATGATCCCTGTAAGTTTCAGACCAGCCAAGGCTACCTAGTGAGATCCTGTGTGCCTCTCTTACACACACATGCGCGTGCGCGCGCACACACACACGCACACGCATGCACACGCACACACACACACACATGCACACGCACACAGGAGCAGGGAGGGAGGGAGAAAGGAATGATCATATTTAGACTTCCTTACTGGGTTCCTTTTGTTTGTTTTTCTTTGCTTATTGTGAGTTCTGTGAAGGCCTTACTTCTTTCTGTAAATGGATCACCACATGTGTACCACCTCTCTATATCTTCCTGTATTCTATCTCTTATCTCCTTTACACATATTACCCACTTGCTCTGACTTTCTTGCACTAGAATGATGTATTCCTTAAACAAAACAAAACAAAAAAATCCTGGTAGATTCTTCTCTTGAACTACGAGCTTTCTTTCGTCAAGTCAGAGAACTGAATAAACTGTCATGTGACCCAGTTTGCCTTGAATTCCTAGGAATTCAGAGCTTAAAATATTGCTTGTATAAAGTAATTGCAGTAATTAGGGGGTTTGTATGCTTCTTACTCTGTCTCTGGCTTGTCACTTGCTTCTGTTGGTCTTAATGTTCTTGTGTCTCTTTTTATAAAGTTTGATTTTATTTTTTTTTTATTTTTTTATTTTTTGGTTTTTCGAGACAGGGTTTCTCTGTGTAGCTTTGCACCTTTCCTGGAGCTCACTTGGTAGCCCAGGCTGGCCTCGAACTCACAGAGATCCG